GACTTCCAACACTTCAACTCCAACTGGACCAGCGGGGCAGCGACCAGGCGATTATTGATCTTTCATGTAGTGTAGGGTTTTATCTTTTCCCAATTGAATTAAAACCCCCAAATCCCTGAAATCAAAAAAAAAAAAAAAAAAAAATCCCCAAATCGATTTCTGTTGAAACTTCACTCCAAAACCCCCCAAATCCTTCGAATTTCTCCATTGGTTTCACGAAGCCGGCTGCTCTCTTCTCTTTGGCAGGTGATTGTATCAGCATTACCTTTCCTATTTTTCCATATTGCCCTCAGTCAACTGCTTATTTGGAATGAACTACAAGTTAAGCTTACCGACATAGAACACTATGTTAACTGAAGTTGATTGGTTAACACTTAACATTCTTGCATAATTTAGGTCATGTAGCAGAGATGAGTTACCTGTAGTACTAGGTCAGCCTTGTCGAGTTGCCGTCACTTAATGTAGTGTATAGGGGATTCTGAAAATAAAAAGGTTGTGCAACTAGAAGCATTTATTGGACAGATATCTAGCATTGTCAAACTAGAAAGATACTGTTGACTCGATTCAATGTGGCATGTCTGATGTCTTAGAAGTATAAATTTGTTTTGATGTAGTATTGTTACTTATCGAATTGAACTAATATTTGATCAATTCCAACTGTTGGAAGAGAGATCGAAGTCAGTACAAGAAGTATGTAAAATGTTTAAGCTTCTAATAAATCTAATGACATCAAAACAAATGGAAACTAAATTACTTCTTTTTTTTTTTTAATAAATAAAATAGATGTTGAATTTTAGTAGGTCTTCATTGGGTTTCTCTACAATCAGTTTTCCTATAATCCTATTGATCGAAGTTTTGAGCACCAGATCTTGACATCTGCAGATATGATTACCCAAATGAAACACCTGAGCAACTTGTAAGGATATTCTACCAAACTCTGATTACCCAAATCATGTTGTAATTGAACCTTTAAACTTCAGTTAGAATAATTCTTTACGCAGGTTAATTTAGATGTCTCTGTTGTGGGATACAAGAGAGACTTGTGTTGGGCTCTACAGATTTCTGTTGGTAATTGGATGACAAAGTTCAAGATTGTGCACATGATGTATAGCATCTTTAGTTATGGATATACTTTAGAAAAGTTCATTGCAGAGCCGGTCCTGTAACTAATCGATGAAGATGTGTAAAAAAATGGAGATTAATAAGCTATTAGTGAAAAATTAATGTAAACAGTTCACTATTTTTATAATTATACAATTAGATGATTCATTATGAATATATTTATTTATTGCTTATTTGAGTGGAAGGGCAATTTTGTGTCTTTACAACAAGTTAATGGAAAATTTGGATGGAACAGTCATTTGAAACAGTAGCTACTAATTCATAAAAAGTTAAGGATAATGATGTTAAGAATTAAACTTTGAGGATAGAAGAAGTGTAAAGATGGACTGTCAGGTCTCTTTTGTTGGCAGATTTTTTGAAGACGATCTGGTAACAAGTAATTGTAAGTGATCTAAAGTGATGTAATAAAAAATTATTTCGTTAAATTTAATGAAAAGACGAACGACAATGTGAAAACCAGACGAAACCAGAAGCCTGCATCGATTTCATACATATATACGTGTAAGCAACGGAGACAATAATCAATTAACCATTGAACGATGACTTTAATTGTGAGATGATTGATAATATTTATTTGAATATGGAGATCAACATTTCTATCATGTTCATATTTGTATTAGCGTGTAATTTGATGATCATGTTAATATTTGTAATAGCGTTTGATGTGAAATTTTTGTTTCCGGGTTGGGAGTTGTGAGTCTTGTGACAGTGGAATTCTTGAAGGTGTAACTCCGCAGTTACATCGAAATTCTACTTGTCAGGTAAGCAATGACTTACCTTAACTTGTTATTGAAGAAATTAAAAATGTTTGAAGCCTTGTCGGCTTATATGATTGTGGCCTGGTCGGCTTATATGATTGATTATTAGAGGATCAACAATTGCACAGGCGCACATAATAACTATATTGAAAACTCTAATTGTGTGACGATTTGAGATATTTTGTAATTGTTTTTTAGGTTAATCATTGGGCATCAGATATAAACTCATACACCATGCCTCCTAAATATGAGTCTGGTGCTCAAAAGAGAAAGAAGAAACGAAATGAAATTTCATTAATTCAAAGTCAAGCAGGGGATATTGGCAAGTACTTTAAAAGCAACAATGTGAATACGTTGAATGAAGATGAAGTAGAGATTCAACCTGCATGTGTTAATGAAGTAGATGATAAAGATGAAGAAGTTAGTCAACCTCCCTACGTTAATGTAGTAGATGATAAGGAAGAAGAGGTGATAAAACCTGCATGTGTTAATGAAGTAGATGACAAGGAAGAAGAGGGTTGCTTTTCTCTAAATTTGGATGATCCCGGGAATTGGAAAATCATTCATCAGAGAACAAGTGATTACTTAGTTGAAAGGGGTCCAAAAAGAGTTGATGACATCTCGTTTCCGAAAGATTGTACAAATAGGCATTTTGATTCTTCACAATATAAGCGATTACTATGAAATGGGCAAATAATTGATAGAAGATGGCTAGTATATTCAATATCTATGGACATGATCTTTTGCTTTTGTTGCAAGTTGTTTAAAACACCCAAAAATGTTACCAAAGTTGGCCAACTTGGTAATGATGGATTCAAAGATTGGCATAATTTGCATCAATCTATTAAAAGTCATGAAGGAAATGAAGAGCATTTATGTTGCATGACTAGCTGGATTGAATTGGAAAATAGGCTTCGAACAAAAACTACAATTGATAAAAGCGTTGGATTGTTGATCGATGCAGAAAGAGAACATTGGAGGCATGTATTAACAAGGATAATCGCTATTGTAAAAAGACTCGCCAAAAACACCTTGCCATTTCGAGGAGATGATGAGAGGCTAAATATTGAGAACAATGGTGTGTTTTTACAAATGGTGGAAATGATTAGTGAATTTGATCCAATAATGAAAGAGCACCTTCGGCGGGCTAATGCAAAAGAGATTCAATACACGTATCTTGGCAAAAAAATCCAAAATGAGTTGATACAGTTGTTAGCTAATGAGGTAAGAAGTGCAATTGTCAAGAAAATTAAACATGCAAAATATTTTGCAGTTATACTTGATTGTACTCCAGATGCAAGTCAGGAGGAGCAGATGTCGTTAATAGTACGATTTGTAGATGATTCGGCAAACTTACCTATAGTTGAAGAACATTGACTTGAATTTTTGAAGGTAGATGACACAACAGGACTTGGACTTACAACCGAGCTTCAAAAGGCTTTGATCAAACTCGATTTGGATATTGATGACATTAGATGGCAAGGGTATGATAACGGATCTAACATGAGTGGGAAGCACAAAGGTGTGCAAAGAAGAGTACATGAAATAAATCCCCGAGCTTTCTATACTCCATGTGGTGCTCATAGTCTAAATCTAGCGTTATGTGATATGGTGAATTGTTGTTCCAAAGCTGTATCCTTATTTGGAGTGATACAACGCATCTACACTTTGTTTTCATCTTCTACCAAGCGATGACAAATTTTTAAAGATAATGTAAAAGGGTTAACAGTGAAGCCGTTGTCACAAACACGTTGGGAAAGTCATGTTGAGAGTGTGAAGCCTATAATGGAGCAAACTGCACAGATAAGAGAAGCATTACTTGATTTGGCAGAAACTAACGAAGATCCTAAAGTAAAGAGTGAAGCCGAATCGTTGGCAACACATGAACTTCAGAATTTTGAGTTCTTGCTTGGCATGGTAATCTGGTACAGGTTGTTGCATGCAGTCAATATTGTGACTAAATTTTTTCAAACTGAATCCATGGATATTGATCATGCTATCAACCTATTGTAAGGACTTGTTTCATTTCTTGAAGATTATAGAGAATCTGGATTTGCCATTGCCATGGATGAAGCGACAAAAAAGGCAAACGAAATGGGAATTGAAGCTGTATTTACAGGAAAACACATAATTCGAAAAAAAAAGCAATTTGTTGAAAACTGTAGTTATGAGGTAAAGCAATCAGCAGAAGAATCATTTAGAGTTGAGTACTTTGTTTTTATAATTGATCAAGCTCTATCTTCTCTGAGGACTCGATTTGAGCAATTCAAACAATATGATGGTATATTTGGATTTTTGTTTAATTTGAAGAGGTTAAGGAGTGCAACTTTATCAAGTTTGTTGAAATCTTGTATGAATCTTGAGAAATATCTTGAACATAATGGGCTTTCGGACATCAGTGGAGATGATTTATGTTCGGAGTTACAAGTCTTGAAGATTTATTTACCAAATGAAGCAACAAGAGCAATTGAAGTGCTACACTATTTGAAGACATTGGATGTTTGTTTCCCCAATGCTTATATTGCTTACAAAATTTTGTTAACCGTACCGGTTACAGTTGCATCTGCGGAAAGAAGTTTCTCCAAATTGAAGTTGATCAAGACCTATCTCCGATCAACTATGTCACAAGAAAGATTAAATGGGTTGGCTATGTTATCAATAGAAAAAGAAATGGTTGAGCAGCTAAATTATTCAGATTTGATTGATGTTTTTGCCTCTAAAACAGCAAGACGAATAGTATTTAACTAATTGTTTGAAATTTTTGGTTTGATGATTTATAATATAAATCGTTTCTATGATATATTTCGTTGTTGTTTTAATATTAGTTTTTTAAGTTAGCAATGAGTCGCATAATACACCTTTGAATTTTGTCGCTGGGGGGCCTGATTTTCATCGTCCGCCTCAGGGCCCATCAAACACAAGACTGGCTCTGACGAGCGGTCCGGCATTCAATGCGGGTCGAAGCATCTGGTTGCCAGCCGAGATAGCGGCGGGTTCTCTGCTCCTGCGGGGATGGAGCGATAGAAGTTTTGAGAATTCAAGAGAAGAATTAAGAACAAAAAATTTTATGATGCAATCATGTTTAGTTTTAAAAGTGTTATTAAATTTCAAAATTTCTTGAAGTTTTAATAGAGCAAGAATTTTCAAAAAATATGCATAAATGGATAAGGTATACTCATTTGCAAATTATCCACTCACTGAGCTATGAGCTCATATATTTTGTAATTGAACAAGGAAGAGATTGAGATTTTTTTTCTTCTATTTCATTCTTACACGAGAGTCTAATAGTTCTTGAAATCTCAAAGTTAAAATGTGACATTCCTCTGTATGAGAAATAATTCAAAGACACAGAATAACCCAGTATTTAATTTACTGGAAGCTGGTATCTAGCAAGCCCGGATTGGAAAATGCCTCTTGTGATGGGAAAGAATTCGATTTTCTACTCTTGGGAAACAAACTTTCCAAAGAATAGATTAGAAACTTGTATTTTGGACAGGGAAGGAGGTCTTTAAAGGAAATTGTTGCAAATTAAAGGAAGATGCATCTAAAATAAGACGTTATCGTATATTTTGGTGACGTGTTCACATCGTATATTCTCATTTGTCCTTCTCAACCCTTATCAGGGCCACCAAATTAGTGGGCAAAACCTCGAGCACGAGCACGAGCTGTTGGGAAAATTGGTGATTTGTGTGTAGATAAAATAATATTTAATACAACTATTTTAAACATAAACATATGAGTAATATAATTCAATAAGAACACAAACATAAGAGGAAAGTTAGAAATGGCAAGCCTTGGGAGTCGCGTCGAGAATGCTATCCTAAAGTCGTGTCGTCTCCCCTTCGTGCGGGTTCTTTTGATACTACACGACTCCAAAATAAAACTCATGTGACTCTCCTTCTGTAGGCACGACCATAGAGAAATAAGTGAACGAGTTTCTTATCGAGTTGCCAAAATAGTATAAACATGGTATAAAGTTATAGAGATGATAATACTTTTAGTTGTTGTAAGATATGTTCAACAATGAAATCCAATCACCTTTTTATAGGTAAAATTTCAACCCCCCACATTTATACTATTAAAACATAAGTTATAATATGTATTATGGTATTTTAATTTTGTGTTAAAACTTAAAATTAAAAGGTTTTAATTTGAAAATTGAAACTTATTTCAAGTTATAACCACAAATTATAATATGTACGATACACTTTATTAATTCAATTTGTATTAAATTGCAATTAAAATAAAAACAACAAATTATTAAATTTGAACTTTAAAACTTAAATTAAATATTTTTCAACACAAGCATGGCATCCTCATCCTTGCTCCAGAAGAACTCACGGCCATTGATGGCAGTGCAGTTGGGGGTGGTGCAGGACGACAAAATGGTGGCAGTCGCAGTGGGGTCAGAGTGAGAACAGAGAGACAGTCTTCCAAACTTTTCATCTCTTTAGCTACAAAGTTACACGCGAAGTTTCTGATAAATGTACTCTTCTTTCACGATGGACCATCTCATGCTGCAAACTAGTTGCGGCATTTCATAAAAAGTCCAACAATGAATAGAAGTTTACTTTTTCACTTGCAGATCTTTTACTAGAAGCATATTTGAATTGCCTCAAATCAGAAAGGCATCGGTTTAATTTTTCACGAGCTTTGAGTCAAGCTCTATTTGCACCTCTCCCTCTGTTGAAGATCTAACTTTCGTATAAAAAATACATAAGATCTAAATTTCAAAGTGTTGGAAATTTAGTGTAGTGGATGAAATCGGATTATTGGCACCGTATATGCAATTTATATGTTGGATTTATGCACACCGTGTATACAACATATCGTATTTACACGTACCGTATATAAAAATTACTGTATATGCATATTATCGTATTTACAGCTTACCGTATATGCATCAGACCGTATTTACAACAATTTACCGTATATGCAATAACATACCGTATTTCCACCAACATACCGTATATGTAACGGATTACCATAATTGTATATATTGATTTTGAATATACCGTATATGCAATGAACAAAATAAAATATAGTAGATTTAAATTGTAAATAGAATCAACAAATTAATCTAGTTGGCCAAAAAACTCAAATTAATTTTTTTAATAAACATAAATAGAATGACAATATAATAAATTGCAAATTATATAAAGCACACAAATAAATTGTAGAAATATTAAATAACAGATGGACTTTCAACTCTAGGCCTATGCGAGCACAGTTTCCTTAAAATAGTTCACTCCTTCACCGTAGGTGCTTGAGATTTAATATGAGCGTCTGTTTCTTCGGATATAACTGTAAACCAGTATAATCTGAGCAATACAGAAACTACTCCGACGAACTAAGTTAATATTCCAACAATATCACCACCAAGACGAATGCGGACAGAACAATAATATGCAGTATATTTTCATGTATGCAGACTGTAATTTTCGTGTATGTAGACTGTATTTTCATGTATTTTTCGATATATCAGAATTGTTGGAAATGAGTCTTAATATAAGATAAATTAGTCATTAACTCTATGATAATAAACATCGGAGTCACTTCAGTTTCTACTGGAGTTTTAGCAGTTTCACAAACTCAAAAGTCAGTTGGAGAAAGTGAAAAATTATAAAACGTGGATACTTCAAACGAGCCAATTTTTGCTCCGTTCGATCTGACATTCATGTACACAGGTCGCGCCCACACACAAGTTCAAGGTCCGAATGCTATTTTGGTCCGTGATTTGCACCCCTTGCGAGCGCACGTGGAGAGAGCCTTTATACTATACATAATTACATTATTCCAAAGTGTAACCATATATAAGTGATTCATGCTTTCTTTTTTTCCTATGTGGGGCAAATCTAATTTTTCCACATAAATCATCTTCCAATTGTCAACTTTGAGCTCTAATCTCTCATTCATCGATTTATCATTTTTGGCAAGTAAATATATGATTTTGATACTCTCGAGAAGGAGAACACAAATTAACTTTGATATTTCAAATTGGACCAACGTGTCTCACCAAATATTGTGTCAAAAATGAGCCATTTACTCATTTTTTTCCAACACAAAGAAGGGTCAACAGCGTTATCTGGGAAGTTAGCTCGAGAATAAGGTTGATTTTCCAACCTGAATCAATCATTGCCATGTTTCGTTGGTCTCTTGCTTCGTTCCGTTCATTGTCAATGAAACCAAGAAAACAAGCAACTAAAGAAGAAAAATAAAATAAAATGAAAAAAGAAGAAGAAGAATTCAAGTAAAGCTCAACTTAATCCTCGACAATGACGTCACAAACTTGTTGTCAATTTTATTATCACTCTAATATACGGATCGTGAACAAATAATAGAGTGGACGTAGAGTCCAAATATCTATACCACGATGAATAAAGCACCTAGCATAATTTCCGATTAACTTAACTCTAATTAAATATAAACATAATAAATAGATAAAATGTGATAATCTTAACAACCTAAACTCATTAACTAATCTAAGTAGTAGGAAGCATTTATGAATACTTGATTAATGAACAAACACTAGGACCATGTATTCACCCATTTGAATATCAATTCCATGATTTGACAATATATATTTGGTTATGAAGATCAAACTTAATGAGCAATCAAAGACATTTTTCAATTCTAGACGAATACGATATTGAGATTTTTTCCCGGAACGTGATTGGTTTCTAAGATCACTTCCGGCTTTAGGCCTTTTATTAGTTAGTCCTGGTAAAGCCCCCAGGCGGCGTATTTTTTTGAAACGAGGTCCTCGGTAACGCGACATAAAGACTCCTTATTCCTGCAATCAAAAACTTTTTTAAAGTTTAGCAAAAAATCGAAGACATGACTATTTGTTAATGGTGTGACGAGGCGTTACATGTGCATTTGGTTAGCCACAACACTAATTCCTTTAAAGTTTCTAACGGATGTTATGCGGGTAAGTAACGTTCAACGTTTGGATAAATTTTGTAGTAAAAATTTGACATTTAAAATTTCAGTAGCAATAAAAAATACATACATAAATTCAGTGATCACTGGTGCAATTAACTCTTATTTTTGTCATTTCTTTGAGAGGAAAAAATGGTATATTAAACCGAGACGTACACTCATAATCAACATTGACACTGGTGTAAGGTGGTTGAGTTGAGACCTCCGCCCAGTTCGATGCATTCGAGGTTTCTATTACAAAAATCTATCTTTCCCTTCGTAAATCCTATTACAGACCATTACAATCAACCAACTCCGTTTTTATTCTCCTCTCTATCACACGCTTCACATAGTTGCTCTTTGTAAACTGTAAACAATGTCGCACGTCCTTCATACCACCTTCATTCCCACCACAAAAACTTCTCTGCGCCGCCAATTTAGAAAGATCCACCACAACCCGACTGCCGGGAGAATCCAAATTCAATCTAAGATCCGAGAAATATTCATGCCTGCACTCAGTTCTACAATGACGGAGGGAAAAATTGTCAGCTGGGTCAAATCGGAGGGCGACAAGCTATCTAAGGGTGAGTCCGTTGTTGTTGTTGAATCGGACAAAGCTGACATGGATGTTGAGTCATTCTATGATGGATACCTTGCTTCAATTATTGTTGAAGAGGGCCTCTCCGCCCCCATCGGCTCCCCAATTGCCCTCCTCGCCGAGTCGGAGGACGAAATCGCCTTGGCCAAGTCACAAACACCATCCTCTTCCACTGCGGCCGATGCCGTGAGTGAGAAAGATACCACTACTACTAACACTGATGATGGTGTTGCAGCTGTTGCTAGTGTAAAAGTAAGTACTACTAGTTCTACGGCTGTTGATTTGGGGTCAGTTAAAGTGGGGTCAGTTAAAGTGGGGTCTGGGGTGCATCTGGCGTCGGAAGGGGGAAAAAGGGTGGTGGCATCCCCATACGCCAAGAAATTGGCCAAGGAGTTGGGGTTGGATTTGAGTGGAGTAGTGGGGAGTGGGCCGAATGGGAGGGTGGTGGCAAAGGATGTGGAGGCTGCGGTGGTGGCTGCTGCCAATGTGAGTGTTAGTGGTACCGGTCCTGCAGTGGCACCAGAGGCTGCCAAGTCGAGTGGTCGTGCTGTTGTGGAATTGGGGTCAGTGGTCCCATTCACCACAATGCAGGGCGCAGTGAGTAGGAATATGGTGGAAAGCTTGAGTGTTCCCACATTTAGAGTGGGATATACAATTACCACAGATGCACTTGATGCTTTATACAAGAAGGTAATGGTTCTTCGTAAACTTACGAGTTTTTTTTCTTTCTTGATTGCTTAAAAAAAGTGTTGGTTTTTCCAACGTTTGATGAATATTGCTGCAGATTTGAAGTTGGATTTACGAAATGGGATGGGATATGAACAATTTTTGATAGAATTAATCGAATAATTTGAAATGCTGTTATATCGAAAATGGAGTAGATATTAAATGAAAATCACCAAAACAAGTACAATTGGTTAATATTCTGATGAACTGCAGATAAATTGGTATATGCTTTATTTTAGTAGCTAATTGACACTGAAACAAATTGTAGTTTTTGATTTTGAATTTTCTATATGCTTTGAAGATTTAATTCTGTAGTGAGAATTGGGAGAAATCCAGTAGAATTCTGGATCTTAGAGAATAAGATTGCAGTTGAAGAATAAGTGGAATGTGCTGATGATGAATGGGAACTCTTTGCAGTATATATAGTATCGATTGAACCCTCTAGAATAAGTAGTAGATTTAGGAAATTTTTAAAACCTTTTGGCTGGATTTTTGAGAATGTTGAGATTGGGATTCATATTATGAAGTTGGTTACAATTTTTTGTCGGAACATTATTCTAGTGATCTGATGGTGCTTTTGCACGAATGAGCTTCTTGTTCCTTCAGGTTATGTTTGATGTTCGATATCTGGTATTGAGTAGGATTGGACATCATGAAAGAAGAAAATAAGTTAAAACCTGTCCATTTTATTGTCCAAGTGTACCAAACATGTCCTTACTCTTTCTCTTTCTGTGATTGTCTGGCGAGTCAATCCTTTTAAATTATTTTCTAGATCAAGTCAAAGGGAGTGACCATGACTGCGTTGCTGGCGAAGGCAACTGCACTTGCGTTGGTTAAACATCCTGTTGTGAATTCTAGTTGTAGGGATGGTAAGAGCTTCACGTATAACAGTCAAATCAACATTGCTGTTGCAGTGGCAATCGATGGTGGGTTGATTACACCTGTGCTTCAGGATGCAGACAAGGTGAGAATTCTCACGTCATTAGTATTCATCTTCTATTATTATGGGTTTTTACTCTTCCTTAAGGACTTGTTAACCAAATTGCCATTGTTTGTCATGTATGTCCTAGATTGACTTATATTCATTATCGCGAAAGTGGAAGGAGTTAGTTGATAAGGCACGAGCAAAGCAGCTCCAACCTCATGAATACAATTCAGGTACATTTATACATGATTGCACAAAATTATTTGCTCCTTGGACTTGTTGAAGCACCTTGTTATTAAGTTTAAACTGTTAGAGGAGAGACATATTTATTTATAGAAAATTAGTCTTTAACGCAGCCCATCACTTGCATGCAAGATTCATTTTTTATGTAGGTTGATGCATGCGCAATTTTCATAAATGAGAGATGGTGAGACTTATGCTCTTCTGCTTTGATAATAAACAACCTCCTCGAAAAGCTTAAACTATTAGTAGAGGGACACATTTATTGAGATTTAGTCCAACAAGATTAGGCAAATTTTCTTGAAAATTTCACCTTTATTTGCTGGAAATGACATTCTATTTTCAATATCTCGGTCTTCATAATTGGTACAACTTTTTACATTTTCTCCTATCATTTTCATTTGTTGATTATGAAATTTTGCGACTTATAGATTGTGTTAGCTTATTATATGTGAACATTCATAATATATGTATGTGACTGCGTAGGAATTGTCGACGGTAAATTTACAATGGAAATGAACAGAAGTTGGGCAGTACCAATTCTTTGGAACTCACAAGAAAGAACAAGAAAAATTGTTATTGACCCTTTGGTTGATGGTGGTGTGGTGATGGCTGTAGGATCTCTGATGATCAAAGTAGCAATTTCTTTAAAGAGAGAAAGTTCGTATGGATTGCAATGAATTAAAGATATTGAAAGCGTGTAAATCTGCGTACCTCGAAATATGAATAGTGGTGATATTTATAATAGGAAGATTGTAACCGTCCGGTTGACGATAGCAATGATCCTCCAAGATCCGCAGGTGGTTGGAGATATGGCCCCAGTTAAGAAAGGTGGAATATGTGCTTCGATAAGTTCACATCTTTGATATCTCCCAATGGAATGGACTTGATAGATCATTTCTAAACCCGGTTTTCTTGCGGAACGCCTACTTTTTAGATGTTTGCTATCTGAGTTGAGGACATAGCTACGAGAGAAAAGAAAGAAGATCTTTCCAATGTCTTTACCTTCAAAAAGCTAAGGAATATAGGAATTACTAGTCTTAGAATCGAGTTGGACCGAAATAAAATAAAGGTTTTATCTTTTTTAAAACTCATTTTTCGTCAAATTCATTTTCAACCTGATGCAGGATAAAGAAGAGGATAGCAAGAAAGGGGGAGAAACCGGAGAGAATGGGGGAAGTAACAGGAGAAAAAGCAGAAATTCAAGGGAAGAGGGGAAGGGAGAAGAAGAAGAAGACGTCACAACCAATCTCAATTCATCATAATCATCAAGCTGAGCAAATTAAATGACAAATTAGATTTAAATAGTCAAAACAAAACCCAACTTAGAACGAGCTTGAGCTAATACAAGCCCAATTACATAAATAAGAATCTAAAACATAAATAAAGTCCAACTAAAAATAAATAAAAAGTAGATGTCTCATCACAACCTCACATTTCATAGGACCCAAATATGATTTTTAGCAAATTAAGCAGGGGTAATTTCATCGGATAGTTCCTTTGAAGAGCTATCAAGAGATAAGACCACATCCTCTCATTTGTTAAGCAGATTGAATGTCATCCTTATCTGTATCTTAGACCCATAGACCTGGTCAAACTCCTATCTAGTCAAGTCTTGGAGGTTCCAGGTTGACTTGTCGTTTTTGGACCGTGTTATGGGTCTTTTGATGTTTATGAGTTGATCCAAAAGTGGAATCGCATTAATTGGGCCAACTTGTGGGCCTCATTATGCATTATGGGCCTTTTGGGCTGGTGGGATAATTTTTGCCCAATACAGTAATTAGTGTGGTTCCATTGTATATGTATAGCACAAACCCTCAGTATTGCTTGTGTTTGTTTCCAAGGAATCACGCAATTGGATAATAGCTTACATTAGGATGCAAAAATGAGTAATAATTGATCTTGAAATTTTTTTGTTATCTGAGATTCATGTTCTTATAAGAGAGAATTTTAGCAGGAAAATACGAGCTGTTTGTCCTACTTCAGAACCCTTAAAGAGTCGAGCCTGGTTTGGTCTGTATATCTATTGCCATAATACAATGCATATTAGATTTTTATAATATTGAAGTCTTAATACCTTCTGCTGAATCCTGAGAAATTCATGCCATCAGCATGTAGTTGACTGTATACAGTTTGCATAAAATGACAAAGGATGTTCTTTTTATATCAGAAAAAGAAAAAAAGGTCCTTTTCCTGCTTCCCATTGACCGTAAGATTATTGTGATCAAACTGGCTTGTATAGTAATTCTGTCAAAACTTTAAAATCTAGACGAAGTCTAGTTATTGAATGAGCAAAGCTTAATCCTCTTGCAATCAAGCTGGTGAACATACTGGTGTTGGTAGGTTTTATATTTCAATCAAGTTCTGTATCCTGTCCAACAGTGGATGGATTACAAAGTATTAGAATTCACGTGTCAATACTAGCCAGAAACTCATAATATGTTTTTTATTTTGCCTTCAAAATTTTCGGTAGATATGTAGTTTAACACTTTAAATTTAGGCCTCATCTGGTCTGAACCTTTTACCTGATTTAATCACTTAAATTGATTAAAAACCTCACAAAACTGATTACTGATCATTTGCCATATATATATATATATTTTTTTTTTTTTTGGAATTAGTGATCACTTGAAGTGCTCCAATAACTCTAGTCTAGCATTTAACTTTTGTAGATCTTAATAAGCTGAGACACTGACCACATCGAGTAAGTTTCTAGAACGAGAAAATGAAACATAGCCTTTTAAATGTTATAATTCCAAAATGCGTGTCTTGCTTCTAAACTATTTCCTTCATGGACAATGTCCTTTTGACAAACTTGGCTTCTTCGTTCAAAGAATGGCTGAATGTTTGGGACTCTGTTGCTCTTTTTTGTCTCTATTGTCCAAAGATACTTGTGCCTATGTGTTGGTTGCTACTGTGTTTTGGTAAAAGAAGTAATTTGCATGTTGAGTTGTTGGATTATTGTTGCTTTATAACTGTATCTGCTGTTTTTTCTCGATCAATTTGACCAGTGGGTTGAGCTGGTTGACTACAGCTTGACCAACTCGACCTTATTGTTCAGTTAAATGCACCTTTTCTAGACAAGATAATCATTTTTAAAATGGTGAAATCATGTTGTGCTGTCTCTGATGACGTCCATCGACCTCAGAAATGAGAAAGGGAAACATTAAAAATTCCAACACTCGTTTGTTGCATAATACAACAACCTTGTCAGATTTTTGCTTACCATGTTGTTTGCTTGTATTACAGGCACTTTTACTCTATCTAATCTAGGAATGTTTGGTGTGGATCGCTTCGATGCAATATTACCACCTGGAACTGTGAGTGAACATCTAAAGTCTCCTGGATTGGCCACAACGTAAATTTCCAAGGCATCTATTCAAAAAGCCTCACTCTTATTAGTTTTCGTTTTTTTTTAGGGTGCGATAATGGCTATTGGAGCGTCACAGCCCTCTCTGATTGGTAACAAGGATGGTCGAATTGGCCTGAAAAGCCAAATGCAGGTAACTTCATGGTTATTTTAGACGTCTTTCTTTATGGCATGTTTGATATGTAGGATTGGACAGAAATGACGTCAAAATATTGTTATCGTACTTAAAGTACTATCCAATTATGTTTATCAAACATGACCTTTTACTTGTTTGGTAAAGAGGATTGGATAGCATTGAACAATATTACTAAAAAAAGAAGCTAAATTCTTAGCTCATTCTGTGCAATCCGCGCTTGGATACTGCATACGAAACATGTATTTCATCACAATTTTGCAATTGCTTATTACAATGTCGAACGCAAATCTTCTAGGTAAATGTAACCGCTGACCATCGCGTGATATACGGTGCTGATCTGGCAGCCTTCTTGCAAACCTTAGCCATTATAATCGAGGATCCTAAGGATCTCACTCTTTAAACTCCGGGAGATTCAATTTTTAATGTCGCATTGGCTTTTGTATTTGAGCTCATAGAATCACATTGTCGACGAATTCAGAAATTAATGTCTGCTCAGATACCCCAAAAGATGAAGCAAAGATGTTGATGGGCTCATTTGTAG